TTCAAATGCCAGAGTTTCTGAGCCAACATTTTGGTTGCTAAGCAAGAGCGTTGTTAAGTGAGTTTCACCACATTTTACAAGTTGGCCACGCTGGTCACATGTCTGGCAAGCCACTCCCACAAAGAAGGCCATGCCTACAGAAGAGGTTCTAAAAAAATTTGAAACCCACCACTGGTTTATGCATGTTCCACTGCTGTTCATATGATACAGGTAGTCCCCGACGTACAATCACAATTGAGTCCAAAATTTCTGTCATTAAGTGAGACCCCAGTGAAATAAGTGTTGCCCCATTTTACGACCTTTCTTGCCACAGTTGTTCGGTGGATCACTGCAATAGTTGAGTTAGTAACACAGTTGTTAAGTGAATCCGGCTTCCTCATTGACTTTGCTTGTCAGAAGGTTGCAAAAGGAGATCACAGGATCTCAGCACACTGCAACCGTCGTAAATATGAGTCTGCAATGGCCATGTGAAAAACAATCCTAAGTAACGTTTCTCAGTGCTGTTGTAACTTTGAACGGTCACTGAATGAACTGTTGTAAGGCAACGACTACCTGTATTGGAGAAACGCAGTGGATAACCTAGCAGTTTTGTGAATAAAGGTGATCTAATTTTTCTTCCTTCCTAGTGGCTCTCTCTCTCCATTCTGATTTCTGCTGAAGGAAATGCAGTCCTTAAATGTTTCCCAATTGGGGTGAAGTGACACAAAGCCACCTCTACTGGGTTCAGCTCATTTCTAATGTTTGTAATCCATTCTTGTTTGGAATAAGTAGATTATCTTTTTTTTTTAAAGGTGGCTCAGTGGCTAAGACGCTGAGCTTGTCGATCAGAAAGGTTGGCAGTTCAGCGGTTCGAATCCCTAGTGCCGCATAACAGATGAGCTCCTGTTACTTATCCCAGCTTCTGCCAACCTAGCAGTTCAAAAGAATGTATAAAGGTAACACCGTTCCATGCGCCTTTGGCATTGAGTCATGCCGGCCAGATGACCACAAAGACATCTACAGACAGCGCTGGCTCTTCAGCTTTGAAATTGAGATGAGCACCAACCCCTAGATTTGGGAATGACTAGCACATACATGTGAGGGGAATCTTTACCTTTACCTTACATCCATTGGAGACTGAACTAGTGTAGTGGCCCAGCAGGAGCCGTGGGAGCTGCCACAAGACTCTGACAGTGAGGGACCCTATGAGTCGGCTTTGGAGGATGTGGAGGACCCTGGACAGGGTTCCGACTCCAAGCAGGGCGCAGAGAGGCTGGTTGGCCACCAGGTGGCTCCTGAGGCTTAGACCAGTGGGGAGGAGACAAGGGAGTGTGATCCCGACATCACCAGGGGAGGAGCCAAGGGACTTGTTCATGGATGCCCGGCACCGGAGAGCTAATAGGCGTAAGAAACAGTTGTGCAGTTACAGGAGGTAATTGCACTCAGCTGGTGGTAATTAGGCTCCTCTCCAGACTATAAAAGGAATGCTTGTGCACACACCCCTTTTGCAGAAGTCAACACATTGATGAACGTTGGAGAACTGTGGTGTTAACTTGGCAGGCTGGATTGCTGCCAAGGCTTGTCTGTGCTGGTTTGCTGCCAAGGACCTGTCTGTCTGTTAATAAATTCCGTAAAGTATCTTTGGCTCGGAGTGCTTTGGTGTGGGCCAAAGGGGGGGGGGGGGTCAGAACAACTAACTACCCAGATTGTTGAAAGCCTAGGTTAGGGTTTTCCCATGAAACAGTATGGAGCTGTCCAAGGTGCTGGTTGATAATTTGCCTTCCCTTGCTTGAGTTGATCTTTCTAGAAACTGAACTTTACTTTGTTTTACATGGAATTGAACTTTGCTTGTCTGGGATGTATTGTAAGTATTGGTATACTAGCATTGTTGTTTTAGGACTAACTCTGTTGACATGTAGTAGGCATGATTTATTTTTCTTGTTCATGTAAATAGGCAGTCCTGACCTACAACCACAATTGAGCCCGGAATTATCTTATGTGGCTAAGTAAGACAGTTAAGTGAATTTTACCCCATTTCATAACCTTTCTTGCCACAGTTGTTAAGCGAACCGCTGCAGTTAAATTAGTAACATGGTTATAAAGTGAATTTGACTTCTCTATTGTCTTTGCTGGTCAGATGGCCACAAAAGGTGATCTCATAACCAACTCACTTTTTTCAGTGATGTTGTAACTTTCAACTGTCACTAAATACACTGTTGTAAGTCAAGGACTACCTGTAGTAGGCATGACTTATTTTACTTCTTTCAGATTATGGGGTTGGTTTAAACTTTCTGCTTCTGTTGTTGATTCTGTGATGGCTTCATAAAAGTGAGCTGTTGTTTATGATTCAGCCACAAGAGATAAACAGAGATAATTGCACTATGTAGATGATTTTAGCAATGTAGTCATTCTATGCAATAGAATTATATGTATTTGTGCCTTGTGGCTGAATCATCATGAAATCAGAAATGATACTATAGTGTAAGGCAAACACATAAAATTCCAAACTAGGCACACACCAAGTGAGATGCTTATGAATACTGGAGCCCTTATCTGAAAATTGTAGGAAAGGACCAGTCTGAACCTGAAGGAGGGGTCAAACACATCATCAGTCTCAAGTCCCTTAGCACTCACAAGAGATCTATGTCCAGACCACCTTGGATCCCATTGACTCTTATCCACTGCCAGTTTGCTCCGACAATTAGTCATTCAGATTCTTCTAGAGCAGGGGTGTCAAACTCAAAGCAAACTGAAAACAAAAGAAAAGGAGCAATGTTTCCCCTTTTGCATTTGAACATCCAAGAAGGGACAGGAAAGGAGAAAGAGGAAAACCAACGAAAAAGAAGGAAAGATGGGAAGAGAGCAAGGAAGGAAAAAGAAGGAAAGAGAGAAAGGAAGAAGAAAGGAGAATGAAGAGGGAAGGAAAAAGAAGAAAAGGAAGGAAGGAAGGAAGGAGATTATAAAGAGAAAGAGGGAAGGTCTGAGGAAAGTCCTGCCTTAGCACTTGGCCACCACAGGTGCCCTCGACATGAGTGACATCGAGCTGGCCACCCCCCACACCTCCAACGTCAAGCACAACCCTGATGTGGCCATCAATAAAATCAAGCTTGACACTCCTGTTCTAGAGAGCTTAAACTTGCAACAAACCTTTATAATCATTTGCATTTCCTGATTTTTTCGCAGTTGACAAAATTATTCTTGTTTGATGCGGTGTTTTGTGTGGAGGTTCTTGCAGCATTCAAGCCCATATATATTACACAACTCTGAAAAAGTACACCTCCGAATCAATTAGTTTTGGAGGTTGAAGCAACCACCCTCCTATTCACTCAGTGCTCACAAAGACTCTACTGGAAATCCATTTATCCCAATATTGTCAACAATGACTTGAAGGAGCTCTTCAGGATTTCAGTTATCATATTTTTTTGCATTATAAGATGCTCCGGACCATAAGACCAGCATCCACTGGTATTCATTTAGCTAGCCTCCTTGCAGCAAACAGCAAACAGCCTGGTCAGCTTCAGCACGTTATCACAGCCTGATTTAGCATAAGCAGTTGATTGGTGGTTGGACTGGCCTCCCGGAATACTGCCGATCAGCTGTTCCAGGCTGCGGGGATTGCTGCCGCCTATCGCTGCCACCACACCAGGGGTGGGTTTCAACCGGTTCGCGGTGGTCCCTGCGAACTGGTTGGTTGGCGAACCCGGAAGTAAGTAACTTCCGGGAATGGCGACTGGCCCACCCACCCGCCCGCACTCCTTACCCGGTTTTGACGAGTTCTGCGCTTCCACGCATGCACAGGACGCATACAGCACCTGTGCGATCCTCCAGGAGCAGCTGGAGCATCGCACAGACGCTAGTACGCATGCGTGCGCCGCGCGCGTGCACGAGGACGCCACCGGCCCCGTTCCAACCGAACCGGTTGGAATGGGGCAAGAAACCCACCCCTGCACCGCACGTCCCATTTTTGGCCTCTGTGCATCCCATTTTTTGCCCCATTCTGGGTGGCAGGTATCACCGCCACCACTGCTGCCTATCATCGCCAATCACCACTGATTACCACTGCTGCCGATCAGCACCGATTGGTGGTGGCGATTGATTGCAGCAATACCTGCTGCCTGGAACAGGCCAAACAGGTGTGCAGAGGCTGAAAACGTGGTGCGTGGAG